GTAGGGAAACAAAGCGGGTTCTTTTTGTTTTCTTTAATAAAAAAACCCACACAAGAAAAATAATACGTTGGCATGAAGGGGGTGTTTTTCCTTAAGATGAATTTCATCCTAGAGCAAAGGACTTAGTGCACTAGAACCCTATATCACCATATAAGCTCTTAACTATGAGCTTAACAAGTGGTGCCAACAAACAACTTAATATGGGGCCTTACCTGTAGAGGAGACCTAACCTTTGCCTGCCCTGAGCATGATGGTACATGAATGTAGATATTTCCAAGAACTTAGTGCTTGCCTGTTCTAGTCTATTCCAGGTCAGATATTTTTCTCTTTTGATGTCACTCTCAAAACGTTAGCTGAGGAAAAAGGCTTCTAAAAAGTATTTAATGAGAAGTCTGTGATGCGTGACTGGGATATTTTAGGGTTTTGTATTTTTTTCCTTTTTACTGTAAAATTCACATTAGGATGAATACTGTTAGCAATTCCTCTAAAAGTAATCTATTAGTTTCTTGTGGAGGCTAAGTGCTTCACTCAGTAGTTCAATGTTTTTAGATGCAAGGCACCCTTCAGAAAAATACCAACTTTTATAATTTTTGTTCACTTTTTTTGACTACAGAAAAATAAACAGAGCAATTTTTCTGGTGCAAAGAACCACAACAGGTCTGAAAGTTTCTAGCACAATAGATTCCTATGTGAAATCTCTGGGTTTAATCTTGTGAATCATGTTTGTATACTTAACCATGCTAACATTGCACAGTACCCTGCAGCACTCTTGAAAGGATCTTGAGTCATTCTGGCCCTGGGTGAGGCTCACTGGTTTAGCCTAATCAACAGGCTAAGATACTAGAGCTGTTTCTATCTAATAAATGCCCATCAGAGAGACTAGTCAATATTCTCCAGCCTTTACCTTTCAGAGAAGTAAGGTATAAAAGACTGTTGTTCTTCCTGTCTCATGTAGCTTTAGATGAAACCGGTGAGTGAGAAGTCAGAGTTGAGGTTTTAGTAGATTTAAAAATCCCATACTTACAGCTGTATTGAATATTCTCTATCTTCAAATCAGAAATTGTCATTATTGTGAACTTTCATGCAACTCTCTACACTTGTAGCTAGATATTGCTTCTGGAGTGCTGTCACATTTATTTTTATACAGCTATCAATAGAAATCCCTACACTGTAGCTGTATTGGATTTCACTGCTTTTCAAAGAGCAAGTGGCAGTATCACTTAATAGCTATTATTAGACTTT